GTGAAAATTTCATGTATCAATGGTCATTCGTTTTAAAGTTACATCAAAAATCAAAATCGGTTTTGTCGAAAACTGATTGTACGTAAAATTTCCTGTTTTCCGTTAATTTTTAGTTTGTTTATCCCGATTATTTAGAAAAATATTAAGAATTTTTTACTTTTGGTCCCCCAAAGTATCAACTAGATTCACTTTCTGATTTAACAAGGTACTGAAGTTAAAAGTTGAAGCATTTTTACTGTCCCATAACGTAATGACAAACACATATTATATTTTCAAGTATTTTGATAGGGCCAAAAAATTTTTATCCACACTTCAAAAAACATTTCCAGACAAATTGAAAATTTCAGTCGTCTATAAATATCTCAAAAAAAAAATCAAAATATTTTGAAAATTAAATCATGTAAATAAAATGCCAATCTAAATAACTGGTAAAATTTTCATGTGTCTACGACTTATACTTTTTGAATAATAACAAATATTTAAAATCGTTTGAGGATATTACCTATATCGTTATCGTTACGGTATTTCGAAAAAATTTAAAATTCAAACGCACTTAAAATTTTTCCTATAACGACGCTTCGAGTTTTCTGTACAGCTATTTGAAGGAAAACTTAGTGTTATATTTTTAATCCATAGTTATAAACAGAAAAATTTTATGATTTTTAAACTTCAAAATTACTTGCAAATTTTCGCGTTTTCGACATTTTTCGTAAAAATTTGAACTATAAACGCTTATAAAAAAAAAATGGTGACTACCAATTTTTAATTTATTTTAGCTACAATAAGAACAACTTATAAGGAACCTTGTATTACATTTTCAAGTTTTTTCGGTCGTCCAACATTTTTTTACCGAAACTTCAAAATAAAATCTCAAAAAAATCGAAAATTTCAGTGGTCTATAAATAACTCAAAAAAAGTCGAAACTTTTTGAAAATTAAACTGTATATATATAACACTAACATAAACATTTGGTGAAAAKTTCAAGTATTTACAGTGATTAGTTTTTGAATTACAACCATATAAAAAAATTAATTTGGTCGAAAACTAGTTTTGTGTAAAAATTCCAATTTTTCTGTCATTTTTTTTTTTGTTTTTCTCGATTTTTTTGAAAACTGTTGGTAAATGTTTACTTTTAATGCACCAAGGATCTTCAATTTTGCATTTGAAACCACCCCCAAAGTTTGAAATCGAAGCATTATTTCGACTAGTTATGCTGTACACAGACACAAAAAAAAAAAAACACACATCATTGTAAAATTAATACATTCATCACTTCGTCCAGAATCTAAAATTATGCCAATTCATCGTATGACAATTTTTTTTAATATTATATGATAAATAAATAATTTAAGAAATATACTCATGTCAGCAAATTCTCAAAAATCATATTTTTAAAAAGTTTTTGCGTTCTAAATTAATTTAACCAAAAAATATTGAATTCTAAAAAATAAACTAATTTACTTCGATAAATCTTTTACCATCGAAATTGTTTTTATAATCAGATTCACAAATAGACTATTTTGAATTTATTCAACATTTTTTTTTAAATTAATTTTTTTTTATTTTCAGTACTAAAAAATAAAACATGTAGTGCTAGGTTCACTCGATGAACAAAAACAAAAAACGAAAATATTAATATGAAAAAAAGTTAGTCCAAAAGTCAGTTCTATCTGTTACATCTTATATTGGTTTTATAACGACTGATTTTGTTTATGTTATATAAAATGATTTGTCTGATATCACGTTTTGGAGCTCAATATAAGATAAAATGTTCAAAAGTGATTCACAGTAAAATAAACTGAATATTTATTATGAGGTACTTATTGAGGTTACATTATATTATACGATACATAACAATTTGAACAAAATTGAAAATACATAATCGTTATTTCATTTTATAAACGTTTAAAAATAATATTTTAATAAATTGAATATTGTTATGGAAATCAAATGAATCAATGATTTTTGTTTACATTACACCTAGTTTTTATTTTGTAATCAAAAAAGTATAAACTGTTAAAATTTAAAAGATTACACCACCACTTGTTATGTTATATAGTTAAACCTTCAAACTAAGCTCAACTAATGCCTATTTGATATTTCAATATAAAGGTAAATGAGTGCAAGTGTAGTAGATCAGTGCAAGTTATATTTATTTCATAAGTTCTCAATTATAGATTTCCAATAATTGTACGCAAATTAATTCATATACATGTTCATACTTGAATATAATTTAAACAAACTTCTTTAAATTAAATGAATGAATCCAAATTAAAAATACCTTTCCTTATACAATATTATAAATTATTATTATTATTATTATTATTTTTAAACGTAATACACAATCTGTATCGACTAGACACAATAAGCATTCATTGGGTGATTTTAATTTTGTGTTTAGCTTAATTTTTATGTTGACTAGTTCATGGAATTTAACATGATCTGTGAATTTGTTAAATAATTTGTTGGATTCTTTAAGAGAAGGGGAAGTATTGAGAGTTAGGAGTATTGATGAATGGTCAGAATTTAAATCRAGTAAGTTTTTAGTAGAGTGGAACAAGGTGTTCGGTAAATTGGAGACAAAAATATCAAGAATATCAAGCTTTTTACGGGCCGAAGAAGTCCAATAGGTTGGATCAGGTGGGGCTAGAACTTTAAATCTTATAGTGTTTATATAGTTGTATAAGGTGACTCCTCGGGAGTTATTCACGCGGCATCCCCATGACTGATGTTTAGCGTTAAAATCGCCACCTATGATAAATTTATTATTAAATGAGTTGAAGTAGTCGGTGAATTGAGTGTTTTTTATGTTATGTTTTGAGGGTAAATAAACAGTAGCAATGGTGAGTTAAGTATTGTTTAACTTAAGGTTAATAGCACAGGATTGGAGAAAGGATTGAGAAAACCTAGGTAAGGGATAAAATTCAATATTAGATTAAATAAAAATAGCAGCACCTCCGTGTGTGGTATTGTCGGGGTGATTTGATTTAATTAGARTATAACCGGGGATATGTATATGAGAGAATTTAGTGAAGTGGGTTTCAGAAATGAGGGCATTGCCGTTTGCGGTCTAATACGGTTTCAAGGTCAAGGGCATGGTTTTTTAGTCCATTTGCGTTAAATTGTAATATTAAGAGCGAATCGTCGTTGACAGATTTATTGTAGTTATTATTAGTCATTATTTGCCGAGGAGCTTGGATATTACTTTAGTTAATAGAGAAATTAGTGGATTTATAACATTTTTGAATTCGTCTAAAAAATTAGTTAATAATTTGCTTAAATCAGGCGGCTGAGTATCAGTAGAAGTAGGAGCAACGAAAGCTGGTGTATTGGATGTGACCTGAGCGTAAGTTTGTGTGAGGAGGAGAGGGGTGTGAGGAGGAAAGTGCGAACAGGTGGATGGCTACTTTGTACATTAGTGGTTTGGATATTAAAATTATTTTGTAATCGATTACTTGGTGTGCTGGATTTTTTACGACGTTGGAGTTCTTTATAAATTGTGCAGCCCTTGTAGTTGGCTGGGTGGTTTTGAGAACAATGAGCGCATTTCGGAGGAGCATCGCGTGGGTTAGGGCAAGCAGTTGACTGATGATCTGCTCAGCAGCGAACGCATCGGGGTTGGTAGCTGCAGTAGGTTCTGGTGTGTCCATATTGTTGACAATTGAAGCATTGGCTGATTGTCTTCGGTTTGTATGGCTCTTCGATTTTTATTTTACAATGAAGTAGTGAAGACATTTTAAACAATTCATTGGATTTCGGTGTTGGTTCGAGATCAACGAAAAATAAGGGGAGGGGTTTTTTATTGACTTTATGTAGTACATTGGTAACTTGTTTTACCTCGTAGAGACGCACTTCCAACTCTTCTTTTATTAGACTTAGAGGCGTGRATGGGTGGAGGTTACGTATAACWATCCGAAGTGGTTTATCTTCTTTGAGCTGRTAAGTATGATACTCGGCTTTTTCAGATTTAAGGTAATGTACTAATACTCTGTAAGCATTAGGGTCCGTAGTTTGAATTTTCAGAGAATTTGTTGAAGATTTACATATAAAATTGTCAACGCCTATAAGCTCTATTAAGTCTGTACACAGTGYRGWAAAATCTTCGACACYTTTAACAAATATAGGTGGAGGAGGTTTAATTGGTGTGTTTTCATTTTCCATTATATCGTTTTCGGCATCATTTTGCTGAGAGTTAATAGAAATATTTTCAGTAGTGGGCGGGTCAATGGATCTTCTTGGGCAAGTAGTTCGAACCTGTTGCGGGAAGCAAAGATTTTTTTTTGTTTGTTTTTTGTTTAGCATTTATGTTCATATAAATGTTCAGATAGTGAGTTTGAGGAGTTGGAGTGTAGACGTTTATTTGATTGTGTTGACCATCCGGTATCTAAAGTGTTAGCCTTTATATTAGCTTTTGAATTCGTTGTTGTAATTGTTTTTGAGATAGTAATCGGTGGAGTGGTTTTTTTTCGTTTTGTTTATAATTATATTATTATGACTGTTTGGTTGATTATTATCCATGGTGATTTCGATAGAGAGTTAATGATGTTATTATATTTTGGATCAGTGGCGGCTAGTGTATATGTGCACAAGTGCACGTGCACTACCTACCTACCCAAACTCAAGAAAACATATTAAATCATATATCATAATAATACAACTAAGTATCTGTAGACTGTAGTGTTATTAAGAATATGTTTCAAAATATAAATATAGAAATTTAGGATATGAAAATAATATAATATTAAATTTGTATTGGGTTATTTCGAACGCGAAACGGCCGGGCGGTTGTCCCCAGCGACGGAGCAGTATCGGTATGTATAGTAGCGCAGTGGTGCACACAGTCCGCTGTGCACTTTTGTACTGTGTAAAATTTAAAACAAGTCAAAACAAGCAGCCCACGTTATTATGGAATTGATGTGCACATTAGTTTTGTGCACATAACCAATTAAATTGTTTTCAGCGTATTATTTTGGCCGTCGCGCGTCGCCGTCGTGCATCGTGCGTGTGTTGACGTCGCGTGTCCCGCGTCGGCATTATAATCTATTTTTACTCCCACTCGTTTATTATATCCCAATTATTAACTGATAATGTTCATCGATCGTTATCGTGAATTCAAAACAACAATCGTGTTTCTGATGTCTATAGACATTTTCTATCCAATTATTCGTAGTACCTAATTTTTAATATGAATTCAGTTCACCAAATATTGAAATGCAATTTTTCAACCATCTCGTTGAAAAAGAAGATGGAAATAAAAAAAAAAGGTAGGCCTACTCCAGACTTAAATATTAAGCAAATTACTAAATGTAAAACTAGAGAATATGTAAGAAAATTTAAAAATTATATTTATAAAACCCATGACTGGATTTGTGGTTGTTCAGAAACTAATTGTTTTTATTGTTTTCCCTGTCTACTTTTTGGTCAAAAATCTAATGATGTCTCTTGGGTAAAGAATGGAATAAACGATTTAAATCATTTAACTTCTAAAATCAAAATACATGAAAATTCAATGACACATATAAATTGTCAATTAAATTTAAAACTTTTAGGAAAACAAAATATAAGACAACAACTTTCTAGTGCATATCGGTTGAATATCAAACAATACAATTAAAAAATAAGTCATAAATTCATAATCGTTATATATTGAATAAAATTATAAATTGTATTAAATTTTGTGGAGCATTTGAACTTGCACTCCGAGGTCACGATGAAAAACCAAATTCAGAAAATCCCGGCGTATTTCGAGGTCTTATAAACTTTAGTTCAGAGTTAGATACGGTACTTAAATGTCACATTGAGAACTCTTCGGCATTTAAAGGTCTATCAAAATCAATCCAAAATGATTCACTTGAATGTTGTTTAGAAGTATGTCAACAAAGAATTAAAATTGAAATAAAACAAGCCGAATATATCTCCGTAATGGCCGACGAAACAACTGACTTATCTGCTCAGTTTCAATTTTCAATAATATTTAGATATTTACTACCGGATGGAACACCAGTAGAAAGATTTTGGGGATTTTTCAATCCTACAGGACATGATGCGAAATCATTGTCTGAATGCCTAATATTCAACTTAGAAAAAGTTCTAGAAACGCCAGAAATGTTGATTTGTCAGAGTTACGGCGGCGCAAATGTGATGAGTGGACGCCTCATCAATGGTGTACAAAAAATAATAAATGATAGTTATAAAAATGCGCATTTCATACATTGCTATGCTCATCAGCTTAATTTAATTTAAATTCAAGCAACTTCACAAAATCGTGAGATAAGGATTTTTTTTCAAACTTAACAGATTTAAAAAATTTTTTTTCCAACAGTCCTCAGCGGGTTATGGTTTTAGATAAAATTGTTAAACACAGAGTACCTCGATCATCTAATACTAGATGGAATTTTAAAAGTCGAGTGGTAAATACCGTGTATGAGAATCTTGAATGTATGGAAGAAATTGAATCAACATTTAAACAAACCATAGCGATTAACCAAGCCGAAGCTTTGCGTCGTATGTTAAATGATGATAAATTTATATTTTGGTTAAGAGTGTTTCATTCTTTAATGCCTCATGTTGATATTCTGTATAATCAACTACAAAAAAGAACTATAGATCCTGTAGAACTTTCAAAGGCAATTTTTTGGTTCGAAGAAAATATATTAAAAGAAAGACAGAATATTGATAACATTGTTGAAGAAAAAGAAATCTCTGAAATTCATCCAACAAAAAAACGAAGACAAGATGATACTGTTGAAGTGTTGAGACAAGAAAAATCGCTGCAAAAGAAGTATGTGATATTTTTATCGTCAATGTTAAAGAACGGTTTGATTATAAAAATTACTTACATGCTTCGCACCTATTTTTATCTAATAAGTTTCTTACGTACGAAAATAAATTCCCAAGTGACCATTTTAATAAAACTGTTGAAGCATATCCTTTTTAGGACGTTACTAAACTTAAAACTATTCTACAACTACAACTATTCTACAAAAGAACCGATTTCCGTGATATCTCTTCATCAGTTCATTTATTGAAATTTTTAATTGAAAATAATTTAACACTGATATTTTCTGAAAGCTATAAGCTTTTAAAAATAATTTCAACTATTCCAATGACTACAGCTGAAGCCGAAAGATCGTTTTCTACATTGAAACGTATTAAGACTTTTTTGAGAAATTCAATGACAGAAAATCGACTTACGGCCCTAGCAATGCTATGAAAAACAAATAATCAGCAATATTCCAAACTTCAACGAAGAAGTAATCAACAGGTTCGCAGAAAAAAAAGATAGAAGAATCGATTTAACATATAAACACGTTCCTGAAATCTAATAAATTGCTTGTACTCTCTAAATTGTATTATTAATATTATACAATATACTATTTTATTTTTGGATTTAATTTTAATATATGTACATATCACATATGTATAATAATATAAATAAAATAAAAGGTAAATAACTAATATTTGTAAAAAAATATTGATACAACCTAATATAATATATGTATGTATATAATATTGGTTATATTTTTTTGGATGTACACCACCTCATTAAAAACCCACGAGCTTCCACTGCTTTGGATGTACATGTACGATAAGTTAAACATTACCGTCAGCTTGATAACGCAATGAGCGCAGGGCGCGACGGCGAGCACTAACGATTATGCTATCGGAACAGATAAGCGGTGTGCGAGACAATGTACGTGCGGACTGTACGGTGTCTGAACACGAACTGATTATAAATTATAGTTTTTTTTTTCTTAATTTTGAAATTATTAAGAATTTCTGCTTTGACATCTGAGGCCATTAGCATTACATTTAATATCATACTAGAAAAAATAAAAAATAAATATATATGTAAAAAAGTACATAAAAATGAATCATTAAATTATAATATTATATTCCAAACTATTTAATATATGATATTTGTTTTAACTTATACCTTCTTTAATAAACAGTTTATTATTTTAAAGTATTATTATTATTGTTATTACACTGCCAAAAGCCTTACCTACTAAAGTCTGTGTAAAGAACATAAGTTAATCTGCCAGACTTCATAGAATGTATATAAGATCATTGTCAAAACACAGTAAATTTATTTCACCAGAAGGAGGCCTTCTAAAACCATGTAGATTGTAGTCTAATAGAATGTTGAATACAATTGTTAAGGAAGGCAGTAGGGCACCATTAATTTTTTAAGAAGTTTTGACAAAACAGATATTTTTTTATATTGCCCTATAATTGGTAATCATGAACTGAACTGATAAAACTATTTTTCTATTGATTAGGAAAAATACCTGCAGCTAGATATCGGTTAAAAATGAAATGTATTCAGATTATTCTGAAGGGAGGGAGTTAAATATAAGTTACTGCAACACTCGACTGTGGTTCTCGGCCAAGAACATTCAAGATTCAAAAGTTAAAATATAATGTAGTATTATTTAAACATTTAAAACTAAGTTACTAATMATTTCCATTGCATTGACGAGTGGGTTGGTGGAGGTCATAAGTGCCCATAATATTGGAGCCCGGTGTTAATGCGGCTAATTACTTCAATAACTATTAGAAAAATGTTTCAAAATTAATCGTTGTATAACTTGGAACCAGGATTTAGTTCTGTACCMGGGTCAACCATTTGAGTCGGCGTCTGCTCTTATCGAAAATGATTATATACATTTTAGATTTTAAAATAATTATTTTATTATATAATTAATTTACGTAAATTATTTCGTTAGACATTATACAAGCATATCATTGAATCAAAATATTTTTAAATTATGATATTGGGACAAATATTATAATCATGATTTATAAACATTATATATATTTTTTATAAAAAACCACTTTTGGAATATTTGAAAATAAAATACAATTTTTGTGATGACTTACCATCCTTTACTGGCCCTATAGGTACATCTGATTATTATTGATTATTATTTAGTTTGTTTGAAAAAACGATTCTGAGCGAAGACGGTTTATCTGTCTAGGATAGATTATAGATTATTAAAAATTTTCAAATCTTAGATTTAAAAAGAAAAATTTTTATGAATTTCTAGTTTGAAATAATTTGCGAATTTTCGTGATTTTTACATATATTGTCAAAATTTTAATTATCTGCTGTAATTTGTTTTAGAGTTACACCATAATAA